TTAAATGAATTCCCTTCACTTCACTGCACTGATTGCTTGATTAATTCCTAGTCGGAGCTCCTTTATACGCTTTAGAGAATAGGCCGCATGCATATCGAGGAGAATCTTGTTAGTTGAAAGAGGAAAATATTGTGTCTGGAATTTAGTGAGGATATATATATATACCCCACCCTTATACCCATGCAAAAGTTCTATATACATGTAACATATTTTTCCCCCGCATTTTTACCTACTACTCATAAAAACACCACATAGTCACAACTCACTAAAAATATCATTTTTCTGATTCTCTCACATAAGCAGTTGAAGAATAGAGCAAAAAATCAGCGCTGATATAGACTGCCGTATATAAAGAAGGAACACTTCAGAGACCTTACGAACGATTCTCAATGAGGCTAGAATTAGTCACAGTGGCATTTAAATCAACCAACCAACTCTCTTATAGGTAAACTTTGTCAGTTTAAGGACCCAGTAGATCCAATTAAGAAAATTAAGACAAATACTCGCCGAAGATATTGGCTAGCGGTCGCGCTATGTCGTGAATTGGCAGAAGTTAGAATTCATGGGCCATTGGATCGGGTCCCAGTGGCTCAATGGTCTACGAGCTCGCCTTGTAATCTGAAGGTTTTGGGTTCGAATCCCGGTGGGCGCGTACTGATGAAGAGTTCCAAACTAGGACGAAACAACTGTCCAGTACTCCTAGGTTTTCCAATGATTCTCCAACTAATGTCAGCTCATGATGAAAATCCTGTAAAAAATAATATAATTTATCAAATACCATGTAATGATGACTGTGAGTGGGGTCAATTACACATAGGTCAGTCAAACTAGTAGATCAGGGTCAACTAGATTATTAGAACATAAAAATTTAGCTAGACTGAGAATGATTGATTCTGTTAAGTTCAATAACCTAAAAAAAAGTTCAGCCATTGCACTGTATTCACTCGCATATAATCAATCACACAAAAGGTTGGGTGGGACAGGGTGAGAGTATTAGAAAGTAATATAGTTAGGTGGAGACGGAGAGAGAGAGAGAGAGAGGCTAATCATCACTGAATCTTTGTTCATCGACATTCAACACCGCACATGTGCAATCGGAATGACGCAACGCCACCTATACCGGAGATATGGAAAGTGGCAACAAACAACACAGGGAAGTTGGAAAAAGTTTCGAAAATCCTTCAAAGTAATACACAAGATTCAATCAAACCTATCAAAGGGAGTGAAATCAAGACATCTGGGCATAGCTGAGGCGCTAGCTATCCAAAAGCTCAAACCCACGCTATGTATCCAAAAAAGAAATACGTCCAACCCTTGTCCCTGCCATGGCCATCATAAACAGGTAATTCTTTTAATAGTGACTATCCCATTGACTTTCTTATCCAAACTTCCTGTTTATTCATGTTATTTTTAAGTTTTTCTTAATCCCTCCACTATTTACACTACCATATTTTCATATCCGAACTTCCTGTCTGTTTTGTCATTTTATTATTTCTACATATTTAATCCCTGATTGCATAAACAATTATTCGTCACATTAGTTTTTTTATCCAAACATCCTGTCTATTTTTGTTATTTCTACATTTCTAACCCCCAATTGCACAATCAATGTCAATCTTCTCAGTAATTATGATGCTACTTTGTTTGAGTTTTACCCGTCCTCCCTGTTTTATTATGGCATTTTAATTCCTAATTGTAATTTTATTAATTTGACCCTTAACCGGAAATTATTCTGGAACTTTCCCATCCATTTGACATAAATACACGAATGTACAGCCTAGATGATGACTTCGTCGAAAAGAAAATTTTCTTCTCTGCAATTGTCTTTTTAATAACTCCTATGACCCAATGTGTATGTTCCGTGATTTGAAGTTGGATAGACAGAAAGAGAGAAAATATATGTAAGACAAATTGTGAAATCGTATGACTAAATTGATATGATTATGAGCAGCAATAATTTATGCTCGAAACCTTGTCATCCAGTTGTTAAAACTGCATCATCACTGTGTGTGTGTGTGTGTGTGATATTTGAAATAAACTTATCTAATATGAAATAACATTCTACCACAGTGCCCAAGTTCTATCTACACTTACATTTACAGACAAACAAAAATGAGCCGTTTCACAGCCATGAATTCAGTTCAATTTGAGATGTGGTTCACTGACTTCAGCACTCAACTTCCAGTCTGACTGACCTTGGCTCATCTCCTGGATGGGTGCATTGGAAATCTGAGTTTTAACTGATGTCATGCGTCTACTCCTTCGTGTTGGTGCAGACTGAATTCCATCAGTCAACTTTGAAAATGTAGCCACCATGCTGGATGACGCATCATTAGGGTGCACTTTGAATTGTTGTTATTAGGTAGGAAGCCTTGCTTGACCTAGGTTTAGCAATCTATATATCTCTTCTGAGATTCGAACCCACGTCACCCGGTGCTGCTACCTGCAGTTAGAGTCGTTATCACTGATGTCATCAGGCTCATGATTGACTTGCTGTAGAACTGTAATGGGTACTTTGATTGGACACTAGGTAGTAAGTGATGTCTATGCGTCTAGTCTCTGACTGCAATACGCCGTGACCCGGTTTCAAATCTCAGAAGGGATATGAATTTCGTGAAGATTGCAGAGATTTAAACTGTGCTATTATCAACAGACTCCACTTTCTAGAGCCTATCAAGAACATGAACTACGCCACCCACATAGTTTTAAAACTAATGGTTGCGAAGACTGTAGCTTGGTGGGATATTTAGTCATCGGTAGATCCAACCTGTCATCAAACTAACCCGACTTCAGTTAGCGTTATTTAACCTAAACGGCTGTAGCTTGGCATCAGTAATGTATGTCTTAGATTCATAAACTGATTGACACGTTATCCTTACCTAACATACTAAGTTTAATTTAAACACTATTTGACACACGGTTCGACACCACATAAATAACAGACAGCAGATGTTTATGATTAAAGCCGGTAATCTTTTAATATCCTTCTACTTACGACGGTCATGTTTCCTACTGATTGACTGGTTTCAACGTGGAACATTCCACAAAAGTGAAGCAGTACGAGTTGTCACGCTCCGTCCATGTATCACACAAACCAAGAGAAGACAGTATAGAGAGATTCAAAAGAGAGAGAGAGATAATAAACAGAAGTGTGAGTGAGGGAAAAAGAATAGTAGTCATATGGAAGAACAACAATAGAGTTTGATTGGCTGATGAAGACATGTTTTGGATTAACTAATACTAGGTCTTTTCCAACCTGATCCATTCTGTCACCTAACGTTCCCTGTTGTTGAGGAAGGCCATGGCTAGTGATGCATGCGTAACACATGTCCTAACCATCTCAATCAACGCAGCTGCTTCACAACCTCGTCGATTGATTTTCCCTCCCACTCACCCAGCAGTCGACCGACGGCTAACCTCAGTATTACTTATCCTGTTATGTCACCTAAGAAGGGCGATAGACCGCACCCAACTAGTCTTTTTATTTCGACTGAATTCAGATAAGATGTGTTATACAACGTTAGTTCACACCTTTCTTTATTCAAATAGTTTACCCGAGTTCTTATTAGTTCTCCATCCATCTGCGTCTATCTACTTGTTAAAAATAAGATTAAACTACTTCACAGTCTCTCTCTCTCTCTCATCTATCTGTGTGATTTTATGCTTTAATCTCTCTCCACCTACCCCTCCTCCTCCTTACTATTTTTTCACTGTAATTCTATTCATGTGAATTTATGTTAAATATAACAATTATTATAGAACTGTAATAATTATTGTATAGTTGTCCTTATACACAGTTATGATTATTATCAAAATCATCACGATTATTGATTACCTTCCTCTGTGACTGACTGGTAGACTGACTGACTATTCAACTGGTTGTTTTCAATTTGTTTCTCTGTCTCCGTCTCTCTCTCTGTCGCATGAATTGTGAATGTGTTGTGTGCACTGTTTACACCAGGATGTCATGTTTCATGTGTGTGTGTTTTTTATCAATCTGTGTGCTTGATTAAAACTTTCTAGTTGATCAAGAGATTTGATCAAGTGTGTGCTGGTTTACAGGCATGTGATTGATTACAGGATTGATGACGAGGAGCTGACATTCGGTTAGAGAACCAGCCATTGGAAAACCTGCAAACCAACACTTGACGATTCATGTGATGCTCACTAGTGACTGGCCGGCCATATTCAGGTAGGTAACTACTTACCTGAGGTTCAAGTCTGTCTGTCTGTCTGGATTCAACATAGAACCTGCCACCGAAGTGCAGCAGTTCCAGTTACCACGTTCCAAATAACACACAAAGGTAGACAAGAAGATGGATGAGTGAAGAGAATCAATAGAGTTTTGACAAGTATAAGAGTGAAACAGAATGAGTAATGGTAGAAAGGAATATGAAAGATTAGAGAGACTGAATACATCTGCGTAAGCCATTGACAACGAGGATTTTGAGCCTTGTCACCTATTGTCTTCAGCCAGTGATTCTTAGAGTCCCGAGGGCGGGCCCCAATCTGGAAGTCTGCATCTCTCTACCTGACTCAGTTTAACTGTCAGGGATTTCATGGATTGATGAGGCCATGTTTTTGTTTGGCCACCGCTTACTCTTTTCCAACCTGCACCTATATCAGCTAGTAATGCCCGTCGGGGGTTGGGGGTGGGGAAGGCGATGGTTAGGCATGCGCAGCACGTGACCTAGCCATCTCTATGTAAATTTATAGCCTCTTTGACTGATTTTCCCTCTTTGCCCAACACTCTAAGCCTAACGTCAACATTACTTACCTTATTATACCACCTAACGTGAGAAAGAGATCGTAAACATCTGTGGTCAAAAACAGACAATCTTTTCATGTCTTCCGCTCTCAATGGTCACGTCTCACCGCCATAGAGAAGGACGGAGCGAACTGCTGGAGGTAATGGATTGGCATGTGTCATTTTTAATCAATTATGATTAATTAAGTCAAATTAAATTAAATAAATAAATAAATAAAAAAACCCAGCTAACCTTTGTCCAACTCATTAAAGTCGATATATCAGCATCTGGTTTAAATAGGTGACTAGGCCAATTGAATGGTTCAATGAATAAAGAAAATCCTGGATGACCTGGATGGACATAAATCGGTTGTATCGTCTTGCAAATTGATAAAACACGTGAACGATTATTATTATTATTAGAATGATTAATACTATTATTATTATTATTATGATGATTATATGATCCACTAGTCCGTAGCAAAGACGAATCTGTACTCTCTGCTGGACCAATAAAACCACCAGATGAAGAACGTGGCAAATTATTCATGATTAAATTTGATGTAGAAAATGCCTTGCCTGTAATCGATTCATTTGTGCCTGTTGTTATTTTACCATACTCGATTATGTGTACAGAATCAGTCGTTGTCGTTAGATTACTGTGGTTGCTGTTGCTGTTGTTGCTGGAATCTCCCCATACTTTAGCGGTCAGTTTATTATTATTATTGGACCATATATTACCACTACCGCTACTAGAAACACCGACATCAGGCAAGGGGATTGCAGCAGTTACATTTCTTGTCCGTGTAGTATTCACTTGATTGGCTAACAATATTCTAGGCTGTTGAGTATTGAATAATAACTCACTTGTTGAAATGAAACAATTCACACCACCATCATCAACCGCAGTAGCAGTAGGCGGAGCAGCAGCAGGAGTAGTAGTGAAATTGTTTTCATTGGATTTTGTGGTCTTTTCATCTGAAATGCCTGAAAATAAATAAATCAATAATAACAAGTGAAGAGAGAACTAGTTACTTATTAAGGATAAAAAAGACATGCTGTTTAACAAGATGACAAGATGGAAAAAAAGAGTGACCAATCCTCATTACCTCTCATGACCGACGTGAAGAACCTAGAAGACCTGGATTTCGCGCGTGGATGATTTATGTTTGATGTCACACAAAATCGAAGACTTACAAGCGAAAACCGACAAACTGGTTGGTTGGTCGAAGAAGCAGCAAAGACAGGACTCCAGGTGAACATTGACAAGACGGAGGTTATGAAAATAACCAACCAACCAACAACAACAGCAGCAACACCCAGCACAAATCACCATCAACGGGAGAGATTTGAAAGAGGTTACTTCATTCACTTATCTAGGGAGTATTGTATCAACTATAGGAGGAACGGACGGGGATGTCAAATCGACAATCGGGAAGACGAGAAACACATTCATCAACCTGAAACCAATCTGGAAATCTTCGTCACTCAGCCTGCATCAACAACAAAATGATTCGGATTTTCAATACAAATGTCAAGTCAGTCACTTCTTCTATACGGATCAGAAACTTGGCGGGTCACAAAGAATATTTCCAACAGCCTGTTGCAGACCTTTATCAACACAACTGTCTTCGCTCTATACACTGAAGATCAGATGGCCGGAAAGAACAATCACCAACAAGAAACTATGGGAACAAACAAAACAAGAACCAATCGCTCAACAAATATGCAGGAGAAAGTGGAGATGGATTGGACACTCGCTGAGGAGGCCGCTGGGTGACATCGCGCGTCAGGCCAACGCTCGAGTGGAACCCGAAAGGGAAGCGGCGAGTGGGACGTTCAAGGGTGACATGGAGGAGATCGTGTGAAGAAGAGTTGAAACAGTATGGATTAACATGGATGCAGTTGAAAAGTACAGCAGAAGACAGAAGCAAGTGGAGACGTGCAGTTGAAGCCCTATGTTCCACTAGGAACCCAAGGGAACAATAATAATAATAATCCTCATTACCTAAGATATCTGCGCGTTAAGTGAATATAACTAGCTTACTGCAATAACATGACTGATTCATCAAAGCATTTTGACTTTAGTAATTGCCTTTATGTATAAGTGATTATTCTGAATTGATATAAGAATAAAACTTGCGCACTGTGGTGGTAGAGTATACAATTCAATTATGGATAACATTTATTTTGATAAAGTCTCACAGTGTTTGTTATACAGTAATATTTACTGATGACCACCTTTCGAGCACAATTTATTACTGTTCATAATCATATCATGGCGCTCACTCACACGACTACTTTCTTGCTTAGTTTATGTACATGAGTTTGGAAAAGAGCTAGCGGCGGTCAAACAAAAACATGGCACCAGTCAATGAAATCTACAACAGTTAGTCTAAGCCACGTAGGAAGGTAAAGACTTCCTGACTGGTTGGGGTCCTCGGGACGGTAAAAACCAATGGTTGGAAACAATTGGTGACATGGCTCAAAATCGTTCTCAATGGCTAGCGCAGATGCATCCACTCCTTGTGACTTATACTTTCCAATGAAACTTCTGGTCTTCGTTACTACTATTCCTTTCTCTCACACCTCTGTTTACTGTCTATATTATGCATTTCTCCTACTTTCTTCTCTTGCTTTGTGTGCAACATGGAGTGTGGTGACTGGAACTGCTGCAAAGTTCTATGTCGAAAACAGATAGACAGACACATGAGTAACAAATTGATGTGATCAGACATATGAATACAAGTCAAGAAAAATGTTCAACAGACATGCGTGAAACACATGAGATAGGAAGATAATAAAGTACACTCGGAAAGAATATTAGTGTTGAAATATAGGTGTGAATGCATGAAATAATAATAATAATAATATGAAATGCAATTATTGAGCCTTGGATTTCAGATACTATATTAGTCAAGCTAATCCCTCTGTGATTATCACAAGAAGAGCTAGGTATATCAGTCGTTCGACTCGAGTTTTTTCCAAGAGGGTGCAAGAACGCTATCCTGCATGGTTACGAAAAGGTGGAAGTGGAGCAATAAGAAGCGCGATCATTGAACATCTGGTCGATAATCATCACCCTATCTCTATAGCATCCGCCTTCAAAGTCATCTACAAGTCAAAGAGTAATTTACCCAAATCCCTACGTACCTGACTCATCTGTATTCCTGAAGCTTTGGCTATCGAAACAGAAAAGCCAGATCTCTGTGTACAGAAAAAGTTCGTTCAACCCCTCCAACTTTCATGGTCTTAATCCCTCTATGCTAAAGTATGGTAATCCCCAATCATACTTTAGCTCTACCAATTCTTCATTTTTGTCAATTCAATTTGTATACTCTTCCTTATTACGTCAATTGTTACTATTTCTACTCTCACTTTTAATTGTCCCCGGTATTATTTCACTTGTTCCACTTGTCATTCTAGATCAGTTCCTTTATGCAACATTAAATTCTATGCTATTAAATTTCACACAATATTACGTAACGTTTTTATTTTTTCTCGATTTGTCTACTAATCTTATAATTGCACACCCTTTTTTTCAAGTTCTATCCATCCTATGAAATATTCTATATATGACATTAATTTGCTTGGCCACTTGACATTTAACTACGATCATAATCACAAACATTTTAGTTTTAATTGCATTTCATATTATCATTATTATTTTATGCATTCACATCTATGTTTCAATTCCCTAACCGGATATAACTTCTTAAATATTAGTGTTATCAATAAAATATAATACGGTGAAAATTAATACGATGAAAGGATGAGATGAAACAGATAGAAGAATAACTGGTTGGTGTTAAATAATTAGCTATCCTATGAAATTCATAAAGAAGATCAGAAAAGGTCAGAGGCAATAGAAAAAGAATGGTGAACATGGTGGCACAGCGGTTAGGACTCTCGCCGACCATTCACATGATCCGGGGTTCGATCCCCAGTCGACGCACACCTGATATCAATTGGTGAGCCTGCGGAATTTGGGCTAACGATATCACATCAAGGAGGGGACATCTGAAACCCTGCTTAGGATTCCTAATAAAGCAGGAATTAGGGTGGCATTTAAACCTACAAACTCAATCAGGAACAAGCTCTGTAGGTTGACCCAATTAGACAAAATAATATCATCTGTAGAATACATTGCAATGACTGTGAGTGGAGTCAACTACATAGGTCAAACTAGTAGATCAGGAGTAGTGTGATTATCAGAACATAAGAATTTAGCTAAGGTCAAAATGATTGATCCCACAGTGATTGCAAGGTATTTTCTGAATAATATTATTTTGTCTAATTGGGTCAACCTACAGAGCTTGTTCCTGATTGAGTTTGTAGGTTTAAATGCTACCCTAATTCCTGCTTTATTAGGAATCCTACGTAGGGTTTCAGATGTCCCCTCCTTGTTGTGATATCGTTAGCCCGAATTTCGCAGGACGACCAATTGATATCAGGTGTGCGTCGGCAGGGGATCGAACACCGGATCATGTGAATGGTCGGCGAGAGTCCTAACCGCTGTGCCATCATGTTCACGATTATTTTTATTTTGCTTCTGACCTTTTCTGATCTTCTTTATGAATTTCATAGGATAGTTAATTATTTAACACCAACCAGCTATTCTTCTATCTGTTTCATTTCATCGTCTTAATTTTCATCGTATTATATTTTATTGATAACACTAATTTTATCTCCGAGTGTACTTTATTACCTTCCTATCTCATGTGTTTCACGCATGTCTGTTGAACATTTTTATTGATTTTTATTCATATGTCTAATCAATTTGTTACTCATGTACATAAACTAACCAAGAAAGTAGTCGTGTGAGTAAGCGCCATGATATGATTATGAGCAGTAATAAATTGTACTCGAAATGTGGTTATCAGTAAATATTACTGAATAAAAAACACTGTGTGACTTTATGAAAATAAAATTTTATCCTTAATGGAACAAATGAGCATAGATGAAGTATGGCGATTCAAATATTCAAGTGAACACTTTGTATTCAAAAGAAGTACGTCCAAACTTTGTCATTATGGCATCTCCATAAACAATCAATTTTCTTTATTAATTATATTATCCGATTGTTTTCTTTTTTTAAATCTGAACTTCCTTTTTATTTTCCCATTTTATTATGTTTTCAATCGATATCGACAGTATTGCATAACTGTCATCTTCACAAGTGGATATACCTCTTGAACATTCTTACGCCCTCATCCGAACTGATTGACGCGAGCTACGATTATGATGAGGAGAGAAAGCTACTCAAATGAAAACTAACAAAAAGTCTTCGCAACGATTGTGAACAGTGGTGGGCGACAAAAGCGAAAGAGATGGAAAAGGCATCGACGATTGGCAACACCAGACAACTATTCAGGCTTATCAGGGAAACAGGTGGCAAAAGGCAAATGATAAGTGAAACAATCTCTGAGAAAAATGGCACCATAATTAGCTCCCAGGATAGACGACTGGAACTCTGGAAAGAGCACTATGAGGAGCAGTTTAATTGGCCTAGAGTCACACTTAACCTGCTGAACATCCAACACCTCCCTGAATGGGATATAGACACAGGTCCTCCTTCCTTAACTGAGCTTACTAAAGCTGTCACTAATCTGAAGCATGGCAAAGCAGCTGGATTTGATGGAATGACTCCAGAGGTATTTAAGTATGGTGGAGACAGTTTACTGTCTGCATTAACTGAGGTTCTAAGCAGCGTCTGGGAATCAGAGAAAGTCCCATCGGGTTGGTGTAAGTCACTGATCATCCCGATATACAAGAAGGGAGACAAGTCTTCTTGTGATAATCACAGAGGGATTAGCTTGACTAATATAATATCTAAAATCCTAGGCTCAATAATAATACTACGTAGACTAAGTGGTGCTCGGGAGGCACAAACACGAGAGAGCCAGGCAGGCTTTAGATCAAGAAGAGAGTGTATTGATCATATCTTCACCCTTCGACAGATTCTAGAACATAGGCATTCCTACCGG